ATCGCGCCATTGCACTCCAGCCTGGGTAACAAGAGCAAAACTCTGTCTCAAAAAAAAAAAAAAAAAAAAAAAAAAAAAAAGAAATAGCGAAAGGTAGATGGACTGACCCCCGAGACTAATAGATTTGGGATGGTAAATATTTGCATGATTATAAAACTTCAAAATGAGTGAGGCATTGCCTGGCATCTGAACAGTTTGTTTCTGTGACCCAGCAGGACTCTCAAAGTAAAGTGCAAGTTCAAAGCACAATCTTCTAGAATAAAAAGACTGACTATTCATTTGAAATCCTGTAAATGATTTGGTATTTACAATTCTAAATATCAGCCAGGCACAGTGGCTGATGCCTGTAATGCCTCCCATTTTGGGCTGATGCCCAAAATGCCTCCCAGCACTTTGGGAGGCTGAAGCAGGTAGATAACCTAAGGCCAGGAATTTAAGACCAGCCTGGCCAACATAGTGAAACTCCATCTCTACTAAAAATATGAAAGTTAGCTGGGCGTGGTAATAGGTGCCTGTAATCCCAGCTACTTAGGAGGCTAAGGCACGAGCATTACTTGAACCCAGGAGACAGAGGTTGCAGTGAGCTGAAATCACTCTACTGCACTCCAGCCTGGGCAACAGAGTGAAACATTGTCTTAAAAAAAAAAAAATCCCAGCCTCCTGAGTAGAGGGGATTACAGGCATGCACCACCACGTCAGGCTAATTTTGTTTTGTTTTATTTTTTTGAGACAAAGTCTCACTCTGTCACCCAGGCTGGAGTGCAGTGGCACGATATCAGCTCACTGCAACCTCCGTCTGCCGGGTTCAAGCAATTCTCCTGACTCAGCCTCCTGAGTAGCTGGGATTACAGGCACCTGCCACCATACCCAGCTAATTTTTATATTTTTAGTAGAGGCAGAGTTTCACCATGTTGACCAGGCTGGTCTTGAACTCCTGACCTCGTCATCTCCTGTGCTGGGATTACAGGCATGAGCCACCGTGCCCAGCTGCAATTATTATTTACCCATATTTTAAGTATCTCAATGATAGATGGTTATCTTTCCCCATAGATTAAAGCAATCTTTTTTTTTTTTTTTTTTTTTTTTTTTGAGACAGAGTCTTACTCTGTCATTAGACTGGAGTGCAGTGGTGGGATCCCAGCTCACTGCAAACTCTGCCTCCCAGGTTCAAGCAATTCCCCTGCCTCAGCCTCCCGAGTAGCTGAGAATACAGGCGCACACCACCGCCCAGCTAATTTTTTATATTTTAGTAGCGATGGGGTTTCACCAAAATGACCAGGATGGTCTTGATCTCTTGACCTTGTGATCTGCTGCCTCAGCCTCCCAAAGTGCTGGGATTACAGGCATGAGCCACCATGCCTGGCCAAAGCAATCTTTTTTAATGCACTACTTTTAAGACAAGTAGTTTAAATGACTTTGCTGTGATGAGAAAAATGAACTCAGGAAGCACAGTTTTATTAAAACTTGTCAGATAAATTAAAATATACTTTTATATGCTTAATACTTTTCTTTTTCTTTTCTTTTCTTTTTTTTTTTTTTTGAGACAGAGTTTCGCTCTTGTTACCCAGGCTGGAGTGCAATGGCACGATCTCGGCTCACCGCAACCTCCGTCCGCCTCTTGGGTTCAGGCAATTCTGCTGCCTCAGCCTCCTGAGTAGCTGGGATTACAGGCACGTGCCACCATGCCCAGCTAATTTTTTGTATTTTTAGTAGAGACGGGGTTTCACCATGTTGACCAGGATGGTCTCGATCTCTTGACCTCGTGATCCACCCGCCTCGGCCTCCCAAAGTGCTGGGATTACAGGCTTGAGCCACCGCGCCCGGCCTGCTTAATACTTTTCTAAGGGAAAATATTAGTCTTAATTTTTTCCATGGGCTGGGTGATGACGTTCTTTAACCTCAAGTTCACTATGCCTCATTTTTTCATCAGGCTTTGGGTAAGTCTTATCAAAAAAGAACCTCTAGGGATGCTGGGAGAATAAATGATGCAACTGACTTCAGGGCCTGAAAACAAAGGGACCCAATAAATATTTGCTGAATAAATCATTATTTTATTCATTATTATTGCTATAGGGAGCATACTGCACTAAAGCAAATTCCTCCTAACACTTGATGCCTTGAAATATTGAGAAAAAAAATACTCCAACATTATTTTTTTTTTTTAACAATAATTCTACTCAACTTTCACGCTCAAGTTTTTGAGCGTCCCTTTAGCGTGAAAGAGACGCAGTGGCTGGAAATGACCAAGCAGTTGGAGATCTCTTTGCCGCATACCTGGGTTGCACTGTACTGACAGTCAACTAAGTATGCAAAGGGCTTCAGGCAGGACATCGCCTCCCAGGGCTGTACAAGCCCACCCAAGCCATCTACCGGGGGCGGGGCGAAGTCCTGATCAGATGCGGGGCCAAGGACCGCGCCCGCGAGGTACCAGAAACCCGTTTCATCCCAAAGTGGGCCAGCGGGGCCCGGCCATCGCTCCGCGGCACAGAGCTGACTCAGGACGTGGGGAGGGAGGAAAGGCGCCTGCCGCGGTGTCCGCCCTGACACGCTCCCCAAGATGCAGGTTACCCATCTGCGCCCTCGCCCAGGGATCACCTCCTTTCCCAACGAGAGGCAGCCCCAAAGTGGACGAAGCCTCACTCCCACCCCCGCCCCACTTCTATCAATAACGCCTATTCCCTGGAGGTGCCCTGCGCTTTAGTTTGCAAAGAGCTCTGTGACATATGGACCCACTGCCGTGGAGAGGCAGGCCCGCAGGTGCTCACTTCATAGAGGGGAAACAGAGGCACGGCAGTGAAAAGGGTTTCTGGGGGATTCGGGAGCCGCGGGGTGGGGGGGTTCCGCAGCAGCACCCTTACTCCCCCAATGCGGGTCCCCGAGCTCGCTCCGAACCACCCGCAGGAGGACACCTCCCCGCAGCCGCTGCCGCCACCCCGGCCCCCATCCCTCCAGCGCGACCCAGACGCCCGGGCGCCGGCCACTTGGACAAATACCTCTAGCCATGGTCCCACTCTGTCACCGCCTGGGATCTCCCGGGAAACCCAGCTTTCGAAAAAAGTTGCAACAACTGCAGCCAACTGCTCCGCCGGACTCCAGCTGCTCGACCGGATTGGCGCCGCCGCCCGCCCCTCTGCAGACTGCCCTTCCTGATAGGTGAACTCGGAGGGAGGCACCGTCCTACTCCCCGCCTCGTCGGCGGGGGCGGGTCCAGCCGCCTCACTTTCTACAAACGCTTTCCCGACAGGTCCCGGCGGAGGAGATGGGAGGGGGTTTAAATTTCACCGTCTCCCGGCGTTGATTGGCTGCGGTGGAAGACACCCGAGCTGCCATTGGGGGGACCCAGACTCCTCCCCCTTCTGCTGCTGAAGCTCCGCCTCCGGAGTGTGAGCCGCCGGGCTGAAACCCTGGGCGCTGAGCCTACCGGATCTGGGACTTCCGGTTCCCTGCGGGCTTGACCGGAACCCGACATTTGACCCCTAGACCTCCCCTTAGGAGCCTGGAAACCTGAGTCGGGCAGCAGTTTGGCAACTCCTGCACCCGGACCCCTCCAGCATTTCGATTCATTCATTCTCAGGTTTGAAAGGCCAGGCCAGGCGCAGGAGCTCACGCCTCTAATCCCAGCATTTTCGAAGGCCGAGGTGGGCAGATCACTTTAGGTCGGAGGTTCGAGACCAGAATGGCCAACATGGAAAAACCTCGTCTCTACTAAAAATACAAAACTAGGGAGGCCGAGGCGGGTGGATCACGAGGTCGAGAGTTCGAGACCATCCTGGTCGACATGGTGAAACCCCGTCTCTACTAAAAATACAAAAAATCAGCTGGGCATGGTGGCGTGTGCCTGTAATCCCAGCTACTCAGGAGGCTGAGGCAGGAGAATTGCCTGAACCCAGGAGGCGGAGGTTGCGGTGAGCCGAGATCGCGCCATTGCACTCCAGCCTGCAGCCTGGGTAACGAGAGCGAAACTCCGCCTCAAAAAAAAAAAAAAAAAAAAAAAATACAAAACTAGCCGGCCGTGGTGGCAGGCGCCTGTAATCCCAGCTACTCGGGAGGCTAAGGCAGGAACCTGGGAAGCGGAGGTTGCGATGAGCCGAGATCGTGCCCCTGCACTCCATCCTGGGCTACAGAACGAGACTCCATCTCAAAAAAGAAAGAAAGGTTTATTGAATATTCCAGTATTCAAAACCCTCAGGAAGAAAAATAAAAATAAAAATAAAATAAACCTCAGGCAAAACTCCGACCAACTAACTGGGTTATTGGGGAAAACTTCCAGGACCGCAAATATCCTAGTGCTTCACACCCACGCATTTTACAGATGGGGCAAAAGGGGAAGTGCGTCACTTACTCGCCGCCAGGTCAGCCAGCAATGTAATTGCAGGGCAAACACTAAATGGTTACCTTAACCCCAGGGAAGCAAGTATGCGCTGTTCCCCTCTCAGGAAGGGGCTCAGTCAATACGTTCCCAGAGGAGCAGGTGTCCAAGAGTCATTGCTTTGGACACAGGGAAGGTGTCCAGTAATGCTTTTCCCTGGAGCCCCTCCCAGGAGTGTGGGACGAGATCACTCATCCATCCTCTCTTTGGTACCTGAGAAGGTTTTGGATAGCCAACCATTGCCCAAGGACTCTGCCAAAGCACCAGGAAAATAGGAAAGCAGAATAAAGTGATCAATGGGAAAGGTAGAAAGGGATACTTATGTCACACAGTCACTGTGTCACTTGGCACGTCAGTTCAGCTCTCTGGCCTTCAGCTTCCCTAGCTGTCAAATGAAGGAGCTGATGCCATAATCTCCACCGTGCCTTACAGCTTCCATAAATACATAGAGGCGTTTGCTTTCTCCGAAATTTATGAATTCAGCCTTCATTGAGCACTATGCCTGCTGCTGTTTTGGATCCCTCAAGGACAGGGCTGCAAAGACACAGCTCCTTCTCTGCGTTTTTTTAGGGAGGAAACAAGACATTATTTAAAAGATCGTTTTATTTATTTATTTATTTTACGTATTTTATTTTAGGTTTTCACTATTTATTTACGACAAATACTCCACATCTACGATTCTCTCCAGTCAAAAGTCCTTTGAGATGATGCCATCAGCCTTGGCCAATCGCAGAATGGAATCCTCTGATTCACCCATCCTACGTATGGCCCCGCAGATAGCGTGCGTTTTAAACTGGCCGTTAAACCTGCCTGTGAACTTGTCAACCTCGGCCACGTTCAACTGGATGGATGCGTGGTCCTTGGCGCTGATGATGCGGTTGCTGGCGGAGCATTTCCGCGGCACGTACAGGTCCACGAACTCGCCAGCTTCGTTCTGCATCTCGAGGCCGTGCCTGCTGCCACCACACCGCGCTCCGGTAGAGAAAGGAAGCGGTGTGTCACCTGGCAGAGAAATAAAAATTGGCTCATTTTATTTTTTATTTTATTTTATTTTATTATTTATTTATTTATTTTGAGACGGAGTTTCGCTCTTGTTACCCAGGCTGGAGTGCAATGGCGCGATCTCGGCTCACCGCAACCTCCGCCTCCTGGGTTCAGGCAATTCTCCTGCCTCAGCCTCCTGAGTAGCTGGGATTACAGGCATGCGCCACCATGCCCAGCTAATTTTTTGGATTTTTAGTAGAGACGGGGTTTCACCATGTTGACCAGGATGGTCTCGATCTCTCGACCTCGTGATCCACCCGCCTCGGCCTCCCAAAGTGCTGGGATTACAGGCTTGAGCCACCGCGCCAGGCTTTTTTATTTTCTTTTTTATGAGACGGGAGTTTCACTCTTTTCGCCCAGGCTGGAGTGCAATGGTACAGCCTTGGCTCACTGCAACCTCCGCCTCCTGGGTTCAAGCAATTCTCCTGCCTCATCCTCCCAAGTAGCTGGGATTACAGGTGCCCACCACCAGGCCCAACTAATTTTGTAATTTTGTTTATCTGCTAATAAAGACATACCTGGTAATTTTGTATTTTTCGTAGAGATGGTGGGGGGCAGTGGGGAGGGGTCTCACCATGTTGGCCAGGCTGGTCTCGAACTCCTGACCTCAGGTGACCTGTCCTCTTCAGCCTCCCAAAGTGCTGGGATTACAGGCGTAAGCCACCATGCCCAGCCTATTTTTATTTTTCTTGAGACAGGGTCTCACTCTGTTGCCCTAGGCTGGAGTACAGTGGTTCAATCTCAGCTCACTACAGCCTCTGCCTCCCAGGCTCAAAACAGTTCTGCCTCAGCATCCTGAGTAGCTGGATTAGAGGCACCCACCACCATGCCCAGCTAAATTTTGTATTTTTAGTAGAGACAGGGTTTCACCATGTTGGCCAGGCTGGTTTCAAACTCCTAACCTCAATTGATCTGACAGCCTCAGCCTCCCAAAGTGCTGGGATTTACAGGTATGACGTACTGTGCTTGGCCCTATTTTTGTATTTTGAATAGAGATCGTGTTTTACTATGTTGGCCAGGTTGGTCTCAAACTCCTGGCATCCTGTGACCCACCCGCCTCAGCATTCCAAAGTACTGGGATTCTAGGCGTGAGCCACCACCCACAGACTAAAAGATTATTTTATTTTTATTTTATTTTATTTTTATTTTTTTGAGACGGAGTTTCGCTCTTGTTACCCAGGCTGGAGTGCAATGGCGCAATCTCGGCTCATCGCAACCTCCGCCTCCTGGATTCAGGCAATTCTCCTGCCTCAGCCTCCTGAGTAGCTGGGATTACAGGCACGCGCCACCATGCCCAGCTAATTTTTTATATTTTTAGTAGAGACGGGGTTTCACCATGTTGACCAGGATGGTCTCGATCTCTTGACCTTGTGATTCACCCTCCTCGGCCTCCCAAAGTGCTGGGATTACAGGCGTGAGCCACCGCGCCCGGCTATTTTATTTATATTTTGAGACAGAGTCTCATTCTGTCGCCCAGACTAGAGTACAGGGGAGCAAACTGGGCTCACTGTAACCTCCAACTCCTCGACTCAGGCAATTCTCCTGCCTCAGCCTCCCAAGTAGTTGGGATTACAAGCATGTGCCACCATGCCCATCTAATTTTTTTTTTTGACACAGAGTGCCTGTTGTCACCCAAGCTGGAGTGCAATAGCATGATCTTGGCTCACTGCAACAACCTCTGCCTCCTGGGTTCAAGCAATTCTCCTGCCTCAGCCTCCCAAGTAACTGGGATTATAGGTGCCTGCCACCACGCCCAGCTAATTTTTTCTATTTTTAGTAGAGACGAGGTTTCACCACGGCCAGGCTGGTCTCAAACTCTTGACCTCAAATGGTCTGCCTGCCTCCGCCTCCCAATGTGTTGAGATTACAGCCGTGAGCCACCGCACCCATCCAAAAGATTTTTATTTGTTTGCTTGCTTATTTGAGACACAGTCTCACTCTGTCGCCTAGGCTGGAGTGAAGTGGCATAATCTTGGCTCATGGGAACCTCCACCTCCCGGGTTCAAGCAATTATCCTGCCTCAGCCTCCCAAGTAGCTGGAATTACAGGTGCCCTCCACCATGAGGTCGAGTTTGAGACCAGCCTGGCCACCATGGCAAAAACCAGTCTCTACAAAAACAAAAAATTAGCAGAGTGGGGTGGCATACACCTGTGATTCCAGCTACTGGGGATGCAGAGGCAGGAGAACGCAGGAGGCAGAGGTTGCAGTGAGCTGAGGTGGCGCCACTGCATTCGAGCCTGGACAACAAGAGTGAAACTCCGTCTCAAAAAATATAAATAAATAAATAAATAAGCCTGGGTGCAGTGGCTCATGCCTATAATCCTAGCACTTTGGGAGGCCTAGGCGGGCAGCTCACCTGACGTCGGGAGTTTCAGATCAGCCTGATCAACATGGAGAAACCCGTCTCTACTAAAAATACAAAATTAGCTGGGTGTGGTGGTGCATGCCTGTAACCCCAGATACTTGGGAGGCTGAGGCAGGAGAATCGCTTGAACCCAGGAGGCAGAGGTTGCAGTGAGCTAAGATCATGCCACTGCACTCCAGCCTGTGCAACAAAAGCGAAACTCTGTCTCAAAAAATATGGATAGAAGGTATGCAAATAGGCTGGGCGCGGTGGCTCACGCCTGTAATCCCAGCACTTTGGGAGGCCGAGGCGGGTGGATCACGAGGTCAAGAGATCGAGACCATCCTGGTCAACATGGTGAAACCCTGTCTCTACTAAAAATATAAAAAAAAATTAGCTGGGCATGGTGGCGCGTGCCTGTAATCCAAGCTACTCAGGAGGCTGAGGCAGGAGAATTGCCTGAACCCAGGAGGCGGAGGTTGCGGTGAGCCGAGATCGCGCCATTGCACTCCAGCCTGGGTAACAAGAGCGAAACTCTGTCTCAAAAAAAAAAAAAAGAGAAGGTATGCAAACATATATATAAATATATATAATTATCATGTTTTTTTCTTTTTAAATAGAGACCAGGTTGTGCTATTTTGCCCAGGTTGGTCTTCGAACTCTTGGTTTCAAGTGCTTCTCCAACTTCCGCCTCCCAATGTGCTGGGATTACAGGCCTGAGCCACCACACCTGGCCTGAAATTCCCCTTCTATAGATAAACACATATGTTAATATGTTTAATATACATACACACAATATGCTGGCATGGTGGCTCGTGTCTGTGATCCCAGTACTTTGAGAGGCTGAGGCAGGGGAATCACTTGAGGCCAGGAGTTCGAGATCAGTCTGGCCAATGTGGTGAAACCCCATCTGTACTAAAAATACAAAAAATTAGCCAGGTGTGGTGGTGTGCACCTGTAGTCTCAGCTACTTAGGAGGCTGAGGCAGAAGAATTGCTTGAACCAGGGAGGCAGAGGTTGCAGTGAGCTGAGATCATGCCACTGCACTCCAGCCTGTGTGACAGAGCAAGACTCTGTCTCAAAAAAGTGAATAAATAAATAATATATATGTGTGCGTGTGTGTGTGTGTGTGTGTATATATATATTATATATATATATGCTGGGAACTAAACCAAATGAGGCAGTAGTGTCTGCCTCATAGGATTATTGCTGAAATGAGAGAATGACTATCAAGCATATGGGTATGTGGAATTTGAAGTGGTAGCCATTTAACAGTGAATAAAGTTGCAAAATTCGTGAATCACTGAACTTTGGAGTTATTAATAATTCCTTTCCTGTTCTTTTCTTTGGTTTCCTCAGAAGGAGACCAAAACTTGTCAATTAAGTAGCTTTTCAAGACAGTTTCAATGGTCTGGCTTCTTGCCCTTTGAGGGCAAAGAATGAAGCAAAAGGCCAGGTGGAGTGGCTTACACCTGTAATCCCAGCATTTTGGGATCGCTTGACACCAGGAGCTGAGATTACACCACTGCACTCCAGCCTGAGCGACAGAGCGAGACTTTGTCTAAAAAAGTAGTATATAGGGCCGGGCGCGGTGGCTCAAGCCTGTAATCCCAGCACTTTGGGAGGCCGAGGCGGGTGGATCATGAGGTCCAGAGATCGAGACCATCCTGGTCAACATGGTGAAACCTCGTCTCTACTAAAAATACAAAAAATTAGCTGGGCATGGTGGCGTGTGCCTGTAATCCCAGCTACTCTGGAGGCTGAAGCAAGAGAATTGCCTGAACCCAGGAGGTGGAGGTTGTGGTGAGCCGAGATCGCGCCATTGCACTCCAGCCTGGGTAGCAAGAGCGAAACTCTGTCTAAAAAAAAATAAATAAATAAAAAATAATTGCCGGGCGCGGTGGCTCAAGCCTGTAATCCCAGCACTTTGGGAGGCCGAGGCGGGTGGATCACGAGGTCGAGAGATCGAGACCATCCTGGTCAACATAGTGAAACCCCGTCTCTACTAAAAATACAAAAAACTAGCTGGGCGTGGTGGCGCGTGCCTGTAATCCCAGCTACTTAGGAGGCTGAGGCAGGAGAATTGCCTGAGCCCAGGAGGCGGAGGTTGTGGTGAGCCGAGATCGCGCCATTGCACTCCAGCCTGGGTAACAAGAGCGAAACTCCGTCTCAAAAAAAAAAAAAAAAAAAAAAAAAAAAAAAAAAAAAATAATTTGCCAGGTATGGTGGTGCAGCTACTTGGAAGGCTGAAGTGGAAGGATGGCTTCAGCCCAGGAAGCAGAGACTGCAGTGAGTTGATATCATACCATTGCACTCCAGCCTGGGCAATAAAGGGAGACGCTGTTTCAAAAAAAAAAAAAACAAAACATATATATATATATATATATATATATGTTTTGTTTTTTTTTTTTTTAGACGGAGTTTCACTCTTGTTACCCAGGCTGGAGTGCAATGGCGCGATCTCGGCTCACCGCAACCTCCGCCTCCTGGGTTCAGGCAATTCTCCTGCCTCAGCCTCCGGAGTAGCTGGGATTACAGGCACGCGCCACCATGCCCAGCTAATTTTTTGCACCTTTAGTAGAGACGGGCTTTCACCATGTTGACCAGGATGGT